AACATTGTAAATCTCCAAAGTGATCTCTCATTTAATTCTAGAGCCGATCAGAGGCAGTATGCAGAAGGAAAAACTACTAGCAATCCAGCACAATTGAATCCTAAAATGAATTCCTGATTTGGAATTTTAATCGGCCGGAGGCCAGCACTGCTAGCGTGACCCAGAGTGGCAATGAGCCCTCAAGCATCCAGCTGTGTCCACAACCCATTGGCCAACCAAAATATCCACTCGATATTTACCAATGTATGCCTACTTTATATATATCGTGCATGCATGGCAATGCTTCCTGATGCAGGACACGGACGTGAAAGCGATCTTGGACGACTTTCGGGAGCAAGTTGCCGATCAATTGGCATTACCATCTCAAATGTAACATCATAGCGTTGGAGCTTCGCTCAATTTCCATCTGGCTTTCATCAGAGCATCTGTTTGGTCAGAGAAAAAATGTCCCGTGTGTATAACCAGACTCTAAAACACTAGAAGGATGTCATGGACAAGTGAGTGTCTCTGAAACACCACGAACTACCCCTACCAGGGAAGTTTTCATGGATTTGCCCGGACATCAAAGTGAGTTCCACGAAAATGAACAAAGTTTTTGCCCCAAGATACATTGCAGGCGAAGGCAAGTATTATAGTGACTATTCTTTGAGAGAAACCACAATTTTAAACCGGCTCAGACACTTAGGGCAGATATGTTGATCATTGAGTTCCGGCTTCCACAATCCACCACCACGAATTTGGAGAGTGAGATGCTAGCCGGTCGAAGGTGCAATCAAAAGATAAAATCTTATCAGAGTTAGACTTTAGAATTTGCTGATATCTAGAACTTTTTTCTTTTTTTCTTTTTTTCTTCTTGAGCCCTTGTTAAAAGTCGCAGAGCTTCATGTCACTAGAGCTTTTGTGTCTCTGTACAGTAGCTTCTGCTTGATACGTATATGTGCAAAGAAAAGCTAGGGAAAATCAATCAAAAAAGATAAATTATATGCTTGTATATAAACCAAAGACAACAGATCATAATATATTAAATTTCAATTCTAAGATATTTCAAAACTGGATCAAAACAATATGGAAATAGAATTGGAAGCATCAAGACCCCAATCATACATGCACTATTACTATACCATGGAGTGGGAATTTATATGCCATTCCCAAAACCACAGGATGGGGAACAGTCTATGTATTCCTTCTGGAAACAGAGCAGAGAATGTAACATACATGCTGTATACCATCAACTGGAGGAGGGAGAGACAAGTTAGCAAGCTAAAGCTCGGGGAAAACCACTATATTGTAGTTTTTACATCCTAACCTGGCAATATAACAAAATGTTGATTTGCATACAGTTTCACAATGTTGATCTAGTGGATCAAGAAAGTCAGCTCATTTAAGGATAATTGTGTTGTGAACAGTTTGTTGCAAGCAATCTTCATTAAACAAAGCTTAGGAGAAGGAATTTGTGCTGCCATTAGATGACATCCTGTAACATGCTGCTGTGCGAGTTACTGGGTGATTGCCAATTAAATCCCTCAAACCAAAGTAGGAAACTAAGAGCTAGCCACCACCCTGCCGATAAACTTTCAGGAAACAAGCAGCTATTGTTTTCTGTAGATGTTCTTGCGTGCTCTTGAGGAAGTTTTACACTCTACGTGATAACAAAGGTGAAAATGGATAGTTTCTGTGGGAACCAATGGACATGCGTTGATCTTCCATAACATGTTCTTGAAGTTATAGATAATGGACTTGCTGAGAAGTCATTTGAAATTCATTCAGTGCTATGGAGCCGATCTTTCCAGCCGGATCTACATTTGCTATTCGTCTCACGCCGGTTCAAGGTTCAAAACAGAGGACCACTCCTCAGCCTGACCACCCACGCTTTATCGGAGAATTGCGGCAGCTGCACTCCATACATTCCGAAGATCCAGGCATCGTTTCAAAGCCAAGATCATTCTCTTTCCATCAAACCAATCGGCATGTCAATCGGATAATCCTGCACCGAGAAATCGCAGCGCAAACTCAAAGAAAAAACACATAACCTTCAATCCGAGGGCCACAGAAGATCCCCACCGTTGGCTGTGGGTCACATCGCACGGCCTCAATTCAATTTGCTCGATCCGCGCCAGGCCCCGGCAGCCAATCAAATGCCAGTCACCAAAGCCTTCTAAAAAACAAAAAAGAGAGAAAAGCAAGACGCCATAGCTTGGAGATTAACTTCGCGAGCGCGCGCGCGGCTTCCAGGTTTCTTGGAGGAAGAGAGGTCTAGCCTAGGTTTAGTTCGATCAATTGCTCTCCAGCCTCTCCTCAGAGGCTAGGTTTCCATTCCATTCGTGTGATCGATCGATCGACATATTTTGGAGAGATGGCAGAGGCCGAGGTTCCCGTAGGGACGGCGGAGGCGAAGGAAATCCCCGAGGCGGAGCCGGAAGCAGTGGATCCTCCTGCGGCCGGAGAGGAGAAATCCAGCGGCGAGGGCGAGCAAGGCGCTGGCGATGGCGAGGATGCGTCGGCTAAGGGAGAGAAGCCGAAGAAAGGAAGGAAGAAAGGGAAGAAGGCCGCGGCCGCTCCTCGGAAGAAGGCAGCGGCGAGCACAGCGGCCGCCAAGGCGCCAGTAGCGGCGAAGGCGAAGAGCAATCCCAAGCCGAGGGCGGCGAGAGCGCAATCCACACATCCGCCATATCTCGAGGTAAGCGTCAAGAAAAATGTTCTTGGTTGGTTACGAGCAGAAGAGGATCGTGTTCTAGAGCTCATGGATCGCGCTTTTGTTTTCCAGATGATAATGGAGGCCATCTCGACGCTCAAGGAGAGGGGTGGATCCAGCCAGTACGCCATCGCCAAGTTTCTCGATGACAATTACGAGCTGCCCCCGACTTACAAGAAGACGCTGCTCATCCAGCTCCGGAACCTCACCGAGAAGGGCAAGCTCACGAAGATCAAAGGCTCCTTCAAGGTTGGATCGGGCGTTCCAAAGCCAGCTCCAGCGGAGGCAGCGCCAGCTCCCAAGCCGAAGGTCGCGGCCGCTGCCAAGAAGAAACCATCCGAGACAAAGGAGAAGAAGGTGGCGAAGGTTAGTGGTGCTTCCAAGGCCAGGAAGCCCAAAGCTGTAGCTTCTCCGAGGAAGCAGCAGCCGATGAGGAAAGGCAAAGCTGTGGCTTCCACCTCTTCCCCCACTCCGGCATCGCTCAAGGCGAGCAAGGTGATCAAGAAGAAACCAGTTGCGAAGAAGGCAGCTGCGGCGAAGTCAGTGACGAGAAGGGGATCATCGGCAGCAGCGGCGGCGGCGGCTTCATCGTCGGATCAGCCAGCGCTCGCCTCGACAGTGGCATCCAAGAAGCGAGCAGCGTCGAGCTCCGCCGCCAAGAAGGTGGCTTCTCCCGCGAAGAAGCAGAAGGTTGCTGCTGCCAAAAAGGCCAAGACGAGCCCGGCCAAGGCCAAATCTCCCGCGAAGAAGGTCGCGACGCGGGCATCCAAATCGAAAGCCGTGCCGGCAGCGGCCAAGGCGAAGAAGGCCGGCGCTCCGAAGAAGGTTGCAAAGAAAGTTGGATCGCCCGCCAAGAAAGCTGCGAGGAAGGCAGCCAAGTAGGAGATCATCGAAACGATACGATCAGTCGACGATCCGATAGATACTCAACATCAGCTCTAGACAACACCAAAGATGAATCAACAACACCAACACTCCCAGCATCAATCAATCAACCAATCAAGCAGTCATCCATCCAGCGAAGATCCAAACACGAGATGGAACGAAAAAGTGGAAGGTGGTCCGGCTTTTGTCTCGTTCTCTTCATTTCTGGCTTGCTTTTCTTCTGTTCTTTCTTTTTTTCTTCTTGTAGCTGCTGCTGCGGTGGCTCGACGTACTACCGGGGAGTTTTAGAGGACTGGATTGCAATCCAAATTATCCAATCCATCCCTGGACTCCTCAGGGGTACTATACATATGAAAGAGAGATTAAAAGACCATGTACACTTAGCAGCATTGTGTGTAAAATTAATTACCACGATTGGAATTCCTTATACTTCTAGCAAGTTACAAACGAGAAGCCTCTTCCAAAACACAAAGAGCTCTAAGATCACTGTCGACGAGCTCGCACCACGATTGTGATGCCTTATACTTCTAGCGACTTTCTTCCTACATTCATGGCTGACACAAAAGAAGCTCTGAGAAGATTAGTTCGAAATGAAAACTCTAATCCAAAACAGAAGAGCTCGAAGATCACAGTCGACGAGCTCGCTTTTAAAGCTTGAGTCTAAGCCACCAAAGTGTTCGCGGTTGCGGATTCACTGCCAAGATCAACACGTAAGATCAAGGTAAGTTTCTGGAGATAGAGCTAGAACGAGAGAGAAAAGAACACTCACTACTTCCAGGTTGGAGGGAGCTTCTTGGTCCTCTTGTAGTATCTTGCGAGGCGGTGGACTCTGCTCTCGATGAGGATGAGGCGGAACTTGGAGTCCTTGTCCTTCCGGTTTCGCTCCAGATGCTTGCGAACAGCCACGGCCTTTTTGATCAGGTAGTACAAGTCTTCCGGGATCTCTGGGCCCAATCCTGGAAACGAATTTCGCGAGTGAGCACACGAAAAAGAAGAAAAAGATTTGGCTTACCGTGGCCTTTGAGAATGCGCAAGATTTTGCTGCCTGTGAGCATTTTGACCTGGGCGATGCCATGGGAATCCCGGAGGATTACACCGATCTGGGAAGGAGTGAGACCCTTCTTCGCAAGCTTGCAGATTTGCTCCTCAACCTGTGGAAGGCGATTTCAGTGATTTCTTGCAGCTCAATCGATGGAAGTACCTCCTGTGATGAGGTTTTGAGCCAGCTCGGGGCCGTTCTCTTGTAAGGCAGAGCCGAGGATGAAATACCCTTTCTGGAAGAGGATTTGAGAGGTGAGATCGCGTGCGCGAGGAGGAGGAGGAGGAGCTTTTACCCGGGTGTGTGCATGCGCCCCATCGCGACCGCCCAGTGTCAGCCGCCGCCTCCACTCCGCCGAAGAACAACCCTATAACGAGGAGCCCTATATCGGACGGTCGAAGATTTTGTGCTCTGTGTTTTTAGGGCAAGGGCTAGGGATGGTGTTCCTGCTTCTCAAGATCAAGGCGGAGCTCGAGAATCTCACGAATCTGGTGCCGCAGGGCCCGAATTTCACCTTCTTCTTCAAGGTTTGCGTCGCATTTTTGAGATTCTTGAGCCGATCGCGAGTGCTCATGGAATTTTCCGATCGATCGATCGATTCGTGTAATAGGTCCAATGTGGGAGCTGTGGCACGATGAGCGAGAAGCACAGTGGCGTCTCGGCGGCAGACGTTGTGGAGGTTCCTAACAGCCGGGGAACTGCAAACTTGGTCCAGAAAGTAAGCAGTGGAAATTTCTTTGATTGGATTGTTCTTGGCAAAGCAAGAGAAGAAGTCTCTCAAGGATTTGATCGGCTTTCTCGCTTGATGCAGTGTAAACTTTGCAAGAAAACCGGGACGATCTCGCTGGTGGATGGCAAGAACAAGCCTTACACTCTGGAAGACAGCGAATCCGGCAAGTTCGTCCCGGTCATGTGTTTCGATTGCCGGGGCATGGAGCCCGTGGAGTTCTCGTGTAACAGCAGCAGCCTTTGGGAAGCCGAGGGCCTGGTCAGTAACTTCACTCTTTCTCCCAAGATTTCTAGAGTTATCACTTAGATCGCTCTTTCTTCCAAGATTCCTAGAGTTCACTTGGATTTAGCGCTATGAGCTCGATCGATCGATCACTCACTACTCCAGATTTCCTTCCAGAATTCCGGGGCGAGATTCTCCAACATCGATCTGAGCGATGGAGAGTTCGTGGAATACGACGAGAAAGCCGCCGAGTCCGTGGGGATCTACAAGCTAGAACATAGATTCGAGACAACAAGCAACAGATAACGCCTCCCTCAAATGGGAGCGCTGCGCGTTTTACTCTCCTGCCAACACGTATGCACATTACGTGGATAGCTTCTCTGACGAGAAACCCTAAAATCTCCCACGCATTGGTCTATTTTCAGTCGAGCGATGCGCCAGGCGGTAAATAGGACGGTATGAATCGCGGTAAGCTGGGAGCTCTCTCCTTCTAGGGTTCTTGTAGCTGATCGCCTTGGATCTCCTCCTCCAGCCCGCCAGGAATTCCATCCGATTGCCCTAGAATGCAGCAGGCATGTGGCGCTGGCCTAGAATCTGGGGCTGCCGCGTAGCGATTGGATTATCATGCTGTCTTGGGGATTGCTACTCGATCGCCTCGACGTCGGCGGTAGTTTCATCCTTGCTGCTGCGCCCGGCCCCGACGATGCCGTGACGTCGATTCATACGTGGGCTGTTATCGTTGCCGGGATTTTTGTTCTTATCGCGCTCACGTTGTCCACGTTTCTCATCTTCGAGCATCTCACATCGTACAACAAGCCCGAGGTGAGAACTTAGATTGTGTGCTAGGATTGTTGCTGATAGAATCGCCATCCAGGAACAAAAATGGCTGGTTGGGATCATTTTCATGGTTCCTGTCTACTCCGTTGAATCGGTAAGCTTTCGTTTTTCTCTTCTTTCAATTTTAGAGTAGATCTTTTTCTCTCCTTGTAGCTGGTGTCGCTGTGGAATAACGAGCTATCACTCGTGTGTGACATCCTTCGGAATTGCTATGAAGCGTTTGCACTGTATTCTTTCGGCTGCTACCTTATTGCCTGCTTGGGTAACTTTTCTCGCTCCGAGACTCGCACGCATATAAAATCTCTTTTTTTCTGCATTGCAGGAGGCGAGGATCGAGTCGTGGACATGCTGGAAAGGCAAGCGATAGCGGGTCCGAGAACACCTCTTCTTGTTCGAAGTCGGTCCTCCGGAAAAGCGGCTGTCAAGCATCCTATTCCATTAAACTGTTGTTTGACGCCGTGGTCACTTGGGCAGGATTTCTATCACATTGTGAAGTTCGGCATAGTTCAATATGTAAGTACTTTGGTAGGTAAGCTCTCTGCCGTGCTCTACTCACGGCTTTTCGTCTTCTCCATGTAGATGATTTTGAAGACCACACTCTCGTTCCTATCTCTGTTCTTAAACGTTTTCGATGCTTATGGAGAGGGGGAGTTCAAGTGGTATTACGGGTATGGCTTTCTTTTGAACGGTAGGTGTGACTCTAGATTCTCATCAGTATCGCTGCGCAGATATCCATACGTGACTGTGATACTGAACTTCAGCCAGACATGGGCACTGTATTGTTTGGTTCAGTTCTATGCCGTGACGAAAGATGAGCTTCACCACATCCAACCCCTCTCGAAGTTTATCTGCTTTAAGGCGATCGTCTTCGCAACCTGGTGGCAAGGTGTAGCGATTGCAGTGCTCTTTGGTTCTGGTGCCGCGAAAGGTGTTGCTCCCGAAGGAGTTAAGCTGCAGTCCAGCTTGCAGGATTTCATAATTTGTATAGAGGTGAACGATCCTTTTTTGTTTGGTTTGTGATCCATGTTTGTGTTTTGCAGATGGCTATAGCTGCTGTTGCACACATCTACTGTTTTCCAGCAAGGCCATACCAACAAATAAACGAGTTTGGGCAACGCTCAGTTGCTGTCCTCTCTGACTACGCCTCGATGGACTCGCCGCTGGATCCAGACGAGGTGAAGGAAAGCGAACGACGGTCCATCCTCCGCTTCCTTCCCCCGGAGATGGAGAACGTCGCCACGAGCTTGAAAGAAAGCGTGCAGGACGTTGTCATGGTCGGAGGCGAACAGGTTCGAAAGTTACAAATCAAAAACTTGGCTGGCTATACTGACGCTTCCTCTCGGCAGATCGTTCACGACGTCAAGTTCACCGTCTCTCAAGCCGTGGAGCCGATGGAGAAAGGCATCAATCGCTTGAACGAGACTCTCCACGACAAGTTCCACCAGTTGCCCGGGCAACTCCCGTGGCACGGTAGGCGCGGCGACGGCAAAGGGAGTAAGAGGCTTCACGCGTCCAAGGACGACGCTTGGATCAGGCAAGGGCTAGGGGGAGCCGTGAGAGGAATCGACGATCCTTTGCTCAGCGGCAGCGTTAGTGACACCGGGCTCTTGAGAAAGAAGTTCAAGGACTCGGCCTCGTATGGAAGTGGTGCTGAGAGCAGCGGCGAGAGCAGCGATCAAGGCGGCGCTGGCTTCAAGACGGGCGGGCGGCGATGGACGTTGAGGAGCTAGCGGCGGGGGAGAGAAGTTTTGGTTGCGGGAAGAACAAAACTTTCGAGGAAGAGCGGAATGGTGTAAAAATACCGTTAAAATTTGTTCGTTCAAGCTAAACCCTCGCTTAGCCGGATATTCGTCGCATAATCACGCACTCCTGGATTAGGGTTTGTGGATGCCGCCCATGGCGCTGGTGGAATCCGCGATGGCGCTGGTGGATTACTCGTCGGAGGAGGAGTCCGCGCGGTCGGAGCTGCTGGAGAGCTCTGGCGAGGAGGAAGAAATCCGCAATGGAGGTGAGGAAGATTATCATCGCCAGCAGAATGGCGGCGGCCACGACGATCCAGGGCAGCTGCAAGAGGATGAAGTGGTAGAGGATGCAGCGAATGCGCCGAGTTCTTCATTGCTTTCTCCAGAAGAGGCCTTCTCAGAGGTGAGGAAAGATCAAATAGGCATTTCTCCCCTTGGAAGAGTTTGAAATGTTTTCGCAGATTACAGGCCCTCCGGAGTTCCTCAAGCACGCGATCAGTAGCGAGAGGCTGGAGCAACAGCAACAGCAGCAGCAGAAGAAACCTGTTGGTAAGAAGGCACTCTTTTCTCGAGTCTTAGAACACTCAAGAACAAGCTTTTCATCTTTTATTTGAGCAGAAGCGGTTGTGGAGGCCAAACCACAGCTGGTGGCTCGCAGCAACACCGAGGCTGTTGTAGCAAACGAAGCAACAGCGTCAGTGGCTGGAGAAGCAACGCCAAGAGTGATCCAGCCGCAGAATCCTCCGGCACAAGACGCGGCCGAGCTTCTAAGGTGTGTGAGATGAAAGTTTGCTCTCTCCAGCTCTAAAAGCCTCCATCCATCGCTGTGATTCAGGATGTGCGTCCAGTGCGGAGTGCCAAAGACGTCGTCCGAGGGGCGGATGGTGTGCCCGGTTTGCAGGGACCGTCCTCGCAACAGTGAGCCGGAACAAGTCGACAAGAAGAGAGCGCCCAAAGTGAAGGACAAGGAGAAGAGCAAGCGAATGAAAGGACAGTCGAGTCACGCAACCTGGAAGTCGGAGACTGAGATGCAACTCCGGCAGCAGTTCGACTAGAAGTAAGCTCGCATTTTGGACAATCCTCTCGTTGCATTGTTGGTAGCTTTTCTTTTCCATTTCGTGCTTTACTGATTTGGAGGAGGGTGCTGTTGCTGCTGTTGGTGTTGGTGCTGTTGCTGCTGTTGTTGCTGTTGTTGCTGCTGTTGCTGCTGCTGCTGCTGCCTGAAAGCCAAAGCGTTTGGATTCATAAGTCCTTGGTTGAGCAGGCTGTTGTGGATTGTGTTGGGCGATGGGCTGAGAAGTGGATTTTGGTTGGGGTTCATGAGGGTGTAGTTTGTCTGTCCGGGCATTTGCTGCTGTAGAGGCAAGCCAAGCGGCGCAGCTGACTGATTTCCACTCATGTACACTGCAGCTTTACACTGGTGAGTTAAGCACGACAGATTTTCTGAGCTTACGAGAGTCCTGAAGAATCTGTCGCTGAGAATGGCCGCCTCCCAATCCTCCTCCGAACTTGAAACATACACATGGAACTCGTAAGAACTCGAGATGGGAAAGTACGAAAGGAAATTACCTGTAGCCTTTGCAAACCCGGTTGCGAGAGTCCTTGCTGAAAAGTAACACGATCTAAGTTTCGTGAAGGGAAGCTTGTTTAAAAGTTTAAAAGAGAGAGAAGCGCACCATATTGGAAGAAAGAAGTGAAGTTTGGGCGTTTCCATAGTTCGCCAAGTGAGGACGCATTTGATTTGCTTGTGCCAGTTGCGGCTGGCCCTGCATTTGTGCGTTGTGCTGTTGTATATGCATTTGCTGTAGCTGGGGGACACCATCTCTCTGTTAGCAAATCAGCAAAGTCTTTCGTCACTTACGTGCATGTGTTGATGAAGTTGAGCAGCGTGCTGCTGTTGTTGATTCATTTGAAGGTGGCTCTGAAATCGCAAGATTCTCAGAACTGCAAAGAAGCTCAGAAAGGGATGCTTTGATACCTGTGAGAATTGCTGCATTTTCGCGGATTGTGCCTGGTTCGCCACTTGCATCTGGAAGTCTCCAAGTCATGGATTTCAGATTTAGAAAAGGAGGAAGAGATACTGGACCTGTTGTAGAGCTGGTGCGGGCTGGCGTAATTGGTGGAAATGCTTTTGCAGCTGCTGGACTTTAGTATTTCGCTGTTGCATAAGTAGCTGCTGTTGCTGTTGTTGTTGCTGCTGCTGCTGCTGCTGTTGCTGAGCTTGCAGATCCCCGGGCCTTGGAGAGTTCACAAATCCCGCCAGAGCGGCAGCTGCTGCTGGAGCTCCATTCATCGTCGCGTTTGCGATGATCTTTAAAGGCGAAAACATGGTAAGATCGCATTTGAACACCGATATGAAATGCCGGACCTGTTGTGGAGTCGTCGGTCGCATTCCACCGATAATCGGAGCTCCTTTTCCTGTAGCGGTATAGAAACACGGTATGGGAACAAGAGAGAAAGAAGACTGGTACCATCGTCGGCGGATGCCAATGCCGAAGCAATATGAGGTGGTAGGACGACGGGAGCGTTTCGTTGTTCCGGTAAAATTCTGAGACCTGGAGGAATGGGACTTATTGAGATAGAAAAGCATAGCCAGCCAAACCAAACCTTCGCCAAAGTTTGCGGCAGCATGAAGCAGCTTCTCCTGTTCCAGGATTTTGGCCGCAACAGCCTTGTCAATCGTTGGGAGTGGAGGCAAGCCTTGACGTGCTCCAAGCCCGAGTGCTTTTCTCGAGTCGGATATAACCTTCTCTGCCGCATCACAGACAGATCGGACCAGCTCTATTTGCTTCTGCAAAGACCCAAGAGATCGATCATTCAAGTTCCATAGCTTTCTCCTTTTCAAACTTGCCTGGAGTTTCTCCGTTTGGACGTGGAGCGGGAGATTCGACATTGGTTGCAAAACTTGCTCTTTCAAGGCCATCTCCTCAGCTTCCAGCTCGGGCAAAAGCTTGGACGAGAGCATTATCGGTAGAACTGCAAAGAAAAAGGAGAGCTTCTTCTTTTCCTTCACAAAGAAAACTCTTAAGAGCTTACTTGGTGCCATTCCAGCGCTCACATTCTTGGGATAGACCACAAAGGCCCTCAGTATCGGCTTGATCTCCTCCACCAAGCTAATGAGCTCCAAGTTCACGACCGAGAACTGGCCCAGCACGTCTCCCCTGGCCACAAAACACTGAAAATCCCTTCCCAAAACACCACAACACGAGACTCACCACTTCGAGGATGGATTCGTGTGGATCGAATGCGTGATCCGGGTGAGAATGGCCTGCAAATCGTGCATGCGCGTCCTCAGCGCCGGGAGATTGCACTGCTGTAGGATCTCTGATTTTGGAGGAGGAGCCGGCGCTGGAGCCGCGGCCCCTGCTCCAGGCGCTGGCGCTGGAATCGTCGCTCCCGGCTGAGAAGCCATTAAAATTTCTTTAAGACCACAAGAACCCTAAAATTCCTTCCCTAGGGTTTTAGTCCGCATTTCTTCTTGCGAGCGATGGCGATGGCGGCGACCGATGGTACGTTCCTCGTCCCCCAGACGCAGGGCACGGTGCTGTGCTGCTTGTGTGGCGTGGCTATGTCGCCCAATCCAGCGAATATGTGCGTCTCGTGCCTGCGCTCCCAGGTAGACATCACCGAGGGCCTCCAGAAGCACGTCACGGTCCTCTACTGCCCGGAATGCGAGCGCTACCTCCAGCCGCCGCGCTGCTGGATCAAGGCGGGGCTGGAATCCCGCGAGCTCCTCACCTTTTGCATCAAGCGGCTCAAGAATCTCAACCGCGTCCGCCTTGTGGACGCCGGATTCGTGTGGACGGAGCCTCACTCCAAGCGCCTCAAGGTGAAGCTCAAGATCCAGAAGGAGGTGATGCACGGCGCCATCCTGGAGCAGAGCTACACGGTGGAGTTCGTGGTCCAGGATCATATGTGCGAGGCTTGCTCGCGCGCCGCCGCCAACCCGGACCAGTGGGTCGCCGCCGTCCAGCTCCGCCAGAAGGTGGATCACAAGCGGACCTTCTTCTTCCTGGAGCAGCTCATCCTCAAGCACGCCGCCGCGGCGCTGGCGATCAACATCAAACAGATGCACGAAGGGATCGATTTCTTCTTCTCGAGCAGGAGCCACGCGCTCAAGTTCGTGGACTTCGTTAGCAGCGTGGTGCCCGTCAAGAGCAGGAATGACAAGCAGCTGGTCTCTCACGACACCAAGAACAACTCGTACAACTACAAGTTTACGTTCTCGGTGGAGATCTGCCCGGTTTGCAAGGACGATCTGGTCTGCCTCCCGCAGAAGGTGGCCGCGGGGCTCGGGAACATCGGCCCGCTGGTGCTGTGCACTCGCGTCTCCAACACATTGATGCTGCTCGACACACAGACTCTACGCTCCGCGTTTGTGGATGCGTCGCAGTACTGGAGGGTGCCTTACAGGGCTTTGATCTCGAGCAGGCAGCTCGTGGAGTACGTTGTTCTTGACATCGAGATCGACTCTCCGGCCGAGAGCAGCAGCCAGAAGTACGTTCTCGCCCACGCGCAGGTGGTGAGGAGCTCCGACTTTGGCAAGAACGACACCATGTTTAACGTGAGGACTCATCTCGGGCACTTGCTGCGTCCCGGGGACTATGCTCTCGGCTACGATCTCTACGGTGCCAACACCAACGATCTGGAGCTGGAGAAGTACCGGGGACTGGTTCTGCCCGAGGTGGTGCTGGTGAAGAAGAGCTACGAAGAGAAGCGGCAGAGGAGGCGGGGCAAAGCGCGGCCGTGGAAGCTCAAGAGCTTGGAGATGGATGTGGATGAGAGCACCGGAGGCAAGGAGGAGAGCAAGAGGGCGGTGGAGTACGAGAGGTTTATGGAGGAGCTGGAGGAGGACCCGGAGATGAGATCCAAGATCGCGCTGTTTAAGAATCCGGTAGCGGTGGCGGCGCCATCCATCGCTGGAGAGGACGAGGATGGAGAGCTTCCTCAAGTTCCTCTGGAAGAACTCCTTGGGGATCTAACGCTCGAGGAAGACGAAGATGGCGAGGAAGACGAAGAAGAAGACATGGAAGAGTGAGAGTTTGTGGAAACGAAGAATGTGAGAATAAATGCCATTGTGGTTCTAGGGTTTTTTATTGTGGGACTAGTTAGCTAGGGCTCTTGGCGCGTGGATGAATCGGCGCTGCTGCCAGGAGCGTCGCGCTTCGATCGATGTCTTGGGCTGCGCCCGACAGCTTCCACACCACATCTCTGGCAGATAATCTCGACAGTAAGTTTTCTCGCATCCAGCGCGCGCTTAGATTGAAAATCTCTCCAATCTCTCCGTCTTGAGCAGAGAAGCTTTTGGTTATCCTCCGCGACGGTCGGAAGCTCGTAGGAACGCTGCGATCGTTTGATCAGTTTGGTATGTGGATTATTTCGAGTCTCTCAATCGTTTCGATTGGAATTTTTTTATTTTTTATTTCACTCTCTCGCTGTCTTCGTGCAGCTAACCTTGTGCTAGAGAAAGCTGTGGAGAGGATCATTGTGGGAGATCTCTACTGTGATCTTCCACTTGGGCTGTACATTATCCGCGGGGAAAATGTGGTGCTTGTTGGCGAGCTGGTAAATAGTTCTCTTTCTCTTTCCTTGTTTTTTTTGGTTCGTGGTCTTGACTCGAGCACGTAACGTAGGACCAAACGAAGAAAGACTTGCCGGCCCACATGGTTTTAGTGTCAGCTGCCGAAATCAAAAGAGTGAGATCTTTTTCTTTTTTTTTTTCTCCTGGCTTTTGTAGCAACTGTAGTGTGTTCTTGCTTTATTCGCAGGCTCAAAAGGCGGAAAAAGATGCTACAGAGCTAAAGGGCACGATGCGGAAGAGGATGGAGTTTCTGGACTTGGACTGATTGATTGGTACGCCCCAAAGATTTTCTATTGATTTTGTGGGACAGAAGAGATCAGACTGGCGAGTTTTGATGCCATGCTGATCCATCATGGATGCTTAGCCCCCTGCACTAATTTTTTTGGTGTTCGATTGCGGGGGGTCCCAGGCTTCCTGTACAAGAAGAAGTCGTATTGTCAATCAATGTAAGCAGCGCTCAACTGTACACTCCTGGGTTAGTCCATTTCTTCGAATTCCATTCGGCAATGGGACTGGGATGTCCGGTTGTAGCAGTAGCGCAGGAACAGTGCCGCAGCTTTTCTGGGTTTACAAGGAATCATGACAGGAAGCAAAAGAGAGAGCTTTACCGGACACAGGTCATAGTCGCAGCAGCAGCAGGATTGCCATCGGAGATAGTAATAGGAGCAGTACGTGAAGGCTGGAACTTAGCATGGCGGACTATGATGCAGCAGCTAGCTCCAAGAGATTCCGGCGATGGAACTTACAGGAGGCCAGAGAGCCAGTTTCGGGGTCGGTTTGAGGAGCCGGTTTCAGTCGAGCACGCCGGACGCTACCATCTGTATGCGTCGCCGGTTTGTCCGTGGGCTCACCGGGCACTCATCGTTCACTCTCTCAAAGGACTAGGCTCGGCGGTTCCTATCTCGCTTGCTCTTCCAGGGAAGTCGGGGCTGTGGGAGTTTGAGGCTGGTAGATACCCGGATAAGGCACATAACTGCAGTCGTCTGATAGATGTTTATCGGATGAACAGCGGGGGGTTTCAGGGACGAGCGACGGTTCCCATGCTGTGGGATCGTGTCAGGAAAGCAGTGGTGAACAACGAGAGCGCAGACATTATCGCAATGTTAAACTCGGACTTTAATGCGCTTGCAGAGAACCAACACTTGGATCTAGCTCCGGCATCTCTCGGCCAAGAAATGGACCGCTGGAACCAACTCGTCTATGCCAACATCAACAATGGTGTATACAGGTTCGGTGGGTTTTTCCTCTCTTTCTCTCTCACTGACTCGCGCTTTGTGTCTTAGGTGTGGTTTTGCTCAGAGCCAGAATGCTTACGATCGTGCTGTTCACAACCTTTTCTCTGCACTCGAAACTGTTGAGAAACACCTTCAGTGCTCGAGATTTCTGTGTGGCGACTCGCTCACTCTGGCAGACATCCGGCTGTTCACGACGTTGTACAGGTTTGATGCTGTCTACCACATTCTTTTCAAGTGCTCCAAGCGAAAGTTGTCGGAGTTTTCGAATCTTTATGGCTACATGCGACAGATATACCAGGTTCCTACACGTCTGTTCGAGTTGTGATTGCTAGTAATGTCTTGTTCTTTCGTGTTAGATTCCGGGAGTGTCGTCCACTTGCAACCTCCCAAGCATAATGGATGGCTACTATGGGGCCTTGTTTCCTCTCAACCCAGGAGGGATCCAGCCAGCCATTCCCTCTAGCATGGAACCAAAAGTTTTGTACAACCAATAATGCTTAGAAAGAGAGTTTATATGAATTCTCAGAGAAATTTCTCTAACTGTGTAACAAGTCTACTTGATGCTCTTATCTTAAAAATTTAGTTGTGTAATATATTTATTTTTAATTATATTTTCTTTTTTCCTTTAGTTCAATCTTTAAAAACTTTTAAAAGAAACATCAAAAAAATAAAAAATTCAAAATCTAGTGTTACTTTTTTGTTTTGCAAAACAGTGCATAACATAAGCTGATAATATACCTTTATAAATATTTTAAAAATTAAAAATTAATATTTTTATAAATTAAAGAATTTATAAATAATTTTAAAAAAATGTATAGAAATTAACAAAAGTAATTTAAACTTTTACAATTCCTGTTTTTGCAATATGTTCAGACTCAATGTGAATGATGCATTAATATTTATAATATATGTATATATATATATATATATATATATATATATATATATATATATATATATATATATACACACATATATATCTCTGTGTGTGTGTTCATAATATATTGCAAAACATTGTTTTGAAAAAAGATGAAATAATCCAAGGATATACTAAACATGGACTATTAGCCATATTAAACTAATTACTTGCCACATGAGAAATTACTTTTTAATTGAGCACAACTCGGATTTACTCACAAGATACTATGGTGTTATAATATATATCTCTAAATTTAGACTTTATTTCTTCCAAATAATATTTGTGGAAAATATTTTACTTTGATGTGTTATTTTTGTGAAACAAAATCATTAAGGTAATTATTAAAAATTGCTAAAAAAACTATTTGATATTCTTAATAAATTATACGGACATAAACATTTTCTAGTTTAAAGTTTAAAATATTAAAATATTAAAATATTATTAAAATAATCCTGATAACAATCTTAAAAAAGATTGTAAACTTTGTGAAGTATAATCGTTTATGACCAATCTGTGATGAAGTCCATAAGATCCACAACCAAACTGTTCACTTTGTCTATCAAGCTCCTCCTCATTCCACTCGCAGCATTCCGTGTTGAAGAGAGCATCGAGACTGCTTGCTCCTCGGGTATTAACGCAGGCACCGACTTAGTATTCTAACAAAATCCCACAGTCAAGAGTTCTCCAAACTTTCAAAACACCACAATACTTACAAAGAATGGAATTTCATTTGTGTCACCGTCACGAACAGTATTAGAAATCCACGATAAAACCTGCAGAAAAACTCTTTGGTATAGCAAAAAAGAGAGAAGAAAAGAGAAAGAAGTCTTGGATTTTCCAAGTGAAACCAACCAACCTCTGATATTTCATTTGCACCACTGTATGGAGCAATAAGCATCGATGCTAAATCTTGCTCCTCATCATCCAAACGCCACCAGGTATTGATTCTCTTCACCACCGGCTTTTGATGGTTTGGATCTCTTCTAAAACGTATCATAAAAATTCTTGCCACGTCTTGCTCTTGGTACTGCCTCGGCCCGCAAGTCTCATGGACGGTTTCAGAAGGGAGGCAGTAATAGCAAAATTTCTGCACAAAAACGAGGATTAATTAACCAGCGAGCTATATAACTATCCACCTTTTGCATTTCGCCGTCAAGCCATGATAGGCTCAAACGCTTGTCTTTGTATGCAGTGGCAGCGGCAAAATTGTGGCCATCAATGTCCTCGCTTCCGAGCTCATCTTGCACGATTCTCATCGTCTAATATGAGAAACTCGTCAGCTAGAAACAACAAGAAAGAAAAATCTTACACTGCGGAGTTGATCAAGCTGAAAACCAGGCCTTCCAGCAACCACAACGCAGTACCATGTTTCGACATCTTTTCCAGCTGCGGAGAAGTCCGCGGGATCACATCCAAGTTTGGAAGCCGTGATGCTTCGCAGCTGAGGAAGAACTAAAAGCGCGCACATCAAATTGCAATTCAAAAGATAGCAAAAAGAGGAAGAGCCTACGTAGTACTTACCATGAACTTTATGTTCTTCCACAGTTTCCATGAAGGAGTCACGGGTCAATTTACCTGCAAAGCGAAAGAAATCATCTCAAAGCTGCCAAAAGGAAGATTCTTACCATAAACAATTATGGGCTGGACACCGGGATCTTTGATGAAAACTACTGCCGGTGCCAGCTCTAATCCAAGCCTGCTCCACACGCAAAAGCATGAATCAATTCACGTGATTATCACTAAAAATACCGGCTTTTCCAAATCGAAGCTTCCTCTTGCCTCCACAAAACACATCCGAAAGACATAAACTCGGAGTACTTCTTGGCCGCTTCTCTTACGAATGGAAGTGCACGCTCTCCTGTGTCAGAAAAAAGAATAACTTTCACCTAAAAAGAAGTGCAGATTTTGATTAGTATCGTAGGATTTTGTTTATGCTACTATACCAGCACCTTATGCGGTCCAGATTTCTGAATGAACTCAGGTATCTGCGTGACTTTAGTCAGTGCTTGTTTTAGATTTTAGTGAAAATTGTGGCTACCAAGTTCTGAGAAGAAAAATAACGAATGCGAGGAAGATCAAGAAGCAACGTTGCTATCCAGTCCAGTATAGAATCGTAGCTGAGGCCTTTGGAGTACCTACAGTGTTCGTCAGAAAAAGCGGAACAAGGCTTCATGAATTTACCGAATCAGGCATTTTAATTCCCTACACCCTGGCGGCTTGGCAACAAGAGATGGAATCCCTGAAGAAAGAAAATGAAAGAAAATGAAAGAAAATAGGAGGTTTACGTGTTTACCATGGCGTCTGATCCACCTCTTTCCTGCCAAGAGCTTTGCGAGTTGAACTTCTCCTATCTCGACTCTCAAAAGATTAACCTGGCCTTCGAGAACTTCCGCTGGAATCACGAACAGCATGGTTGGAAAAAGCACGAACACGCAAAGCATTACCCAGTCTTTCCCACACTGGTGAGAACTCCCTTGATCTAGTGTTGGCATCTGAGAAGATCTGAATCAAACATGGTGTCGTGCTCTCCAAAACGGACTTAAAGTTCGTATCGTCGAGCCTCGGTGTGCGAGATAGGATTGGGCCTGTATCTAAAGCAGCTTCTTCTGACTGCCGCAACGAACATCGAGACCATTTCGAGAAAAATGAAAATCACAAGATCACCTCTACGCTGTCCAGGCCGAAGTGATCGTAAACTCGCCTTCTATATGCATCCGATAGAACGTAAAAAGCATGATCAACCTGTATTAACGCGAGAAATAAAAAAAGGAAAAAAGAAAAGGAGCGAGAGAACCTTCGTATCCCTGCATATCGAAGAACGTCTCAAACGAGATGAAGCCACTGAGGGAATGAATGAACTTACAATGGCGACTTGCGCGCCGTATAGGCAGCCTGAATTTCTTCACTGCTAGCGTTGCCTCTCAAACCCAGAACTGGATCAAGGTTTCACCATCGAGAACCATCGAGCTAGAACCAGTAGTAACGAGAAGTACCTTTGTAGTGCGTCACTTTTGCTGGATGGAGAACAGCCCACAAAAGAAGAACGAAGACGGGCAGTGATGCTACTACCCAGGAAGCCATTTCGAGCGAAAGCCCTCCCTTCGATACCTAGTTTCGATACTACCAAAGTTGCTTCTTAAGAGACGTGAGAGTGTTGCAATCGATCATGGACGACGATGCCCAATAGTTCGTAGAGAGATGTGGAACTGCGCCAACAACATCCCTAGGGCTCACACGAATCCGCTTAGATGCTGCTCGAGTTCTTCCATTACGGGAATTAGTGAGGAATGCGTGATGCAAATCAAGCAAATCTGGGAGATGGAGGATTTGTGTTGTAACGATGATGGTTTGCAACGATAGAACTTAATCATGGAGGAATGCGTAGATGCTCCATGATTTGGAGCCTCCGCTTCATGATGGTTTTTCTTGGAATTGTGTTCCAAGGGACACTTCCTAGCTTTTACCTCGTCATGGTTTTGGGCATGGGGGAAGGACCAAAGCTTGCGAGCAAGGAAGAAATTTCGCTCCACAATTGAAGTACTCCTGTTCCAAGCAATCGGATACGATGCCAGTCGTTGATTGCTTTTAAGAAATTTCTTCCCAGTCCACCATCTTTCTATAAATATTTTGTTCCCCTTGAAATTTGGTAATATGGGAAGCCGACACTGCTTTTTCGCGCATCCTTTTCAATAGCTTCTTTGGCAAAGATGGTCTTTCAGGAATAAAACCAAGCCACAGTACATTCAACATTATTTCCAGGACACCAACTTTTACTCCATCGCCATCCCCACCACCAGCGAAGTCCTCATGAAGAAGATGCCATTCGCAACTCCGAATTCCAATCGACACCACTGTGAGGAGGAGGAAAACGGGGCTCGTTTGCCGCCCAACTCCAGCGCTGTTGCTGTTCCTGGGGGAAACAGAAAGAAAAACATTGTCAAGAGAAGCCCTTGAATAGATAAGTAAATCTCCTGACCCGTGCATTCATTCCTTGACTAGTGCGTGTCTAGCGGCCCAGAGAATATGTCAAAAAAAGCAACACTGGAGCTCCAAACTTCAATCCCTCCCTGGAATTCCTGAGATGTGTAAGCGCGGTTTGTGTGTGTATAGTGTATGAGTGTCCACAGCCACAGCATCTTCACACAGCAGCAACAATCCCCGTCTCCAACCTTGTGAATCTCATTCCTGCAACGAAAACGATCCACCATTATGGAACACCCACACAATGCAAGAGAGCACAACAACAACAACAAGGAGATAAGAGAGAGACTCAACACCTCTCTCTCTCTCTCTCTCTCTCTCTCTCTCTCTCTCTCTCTCTCTCTCTCTCTCTCTCTCTCTCTGTGTGTAGTTTTCTTCCTGGTTCCTGGTAAATTCAACCAGCCCACGCCACACACCACACTGCCAGGGAGACAAACGAGAGAGATGAAAATTGAATGAATGAATGCTTGAGTGAATGAATAAAATCCAAGCAACGACCCTTCAAGTACTACTAGGAATGAGGAAGAGAGGAGGAAAAAACACGACAAAAAACACCATAATTCATTAATAATTTCAAATGTGAGGAAATGCTTCAGGCAAGATCCTCCCTACCCATCAAAACCCAAAGGTTTTTTTTTTTTTTTCTTGCTCTTCGTTCATGCACACAAATGCCCAGCCTGTTGCATCAAATCGAGAATTATAGCCGTCACAGGACTCGCGAGACACTGCAAATCTAATGCAAATTTATCACAGCTCGAGCGAGCTCGAGCTTTCAATCCTTTCACCACTCCTCTTTCTTTCTTTCTTTCTTTCTTTCTCTCTTTCGTTCTTCTTCTTCTTCTTCTTTGGCGAGCTCTGCTATAGAGCACCAAAAGAAAACATTTCCATCGTATAGGGAGGAATATCTACAGGCAAACTCACGAAAAAGGACGAACCTCTCTGCCTCGAGGAACAGGAGGAACAGCAACAGCGAGCGCGCTGCTCGATCGATCGATCAGCAGATAAGGGACCGGGAATCCGCGGCCACCGCCGTTTGCTTGATGAATTTGATGCACTCCGACACCGCGTCCTCGCAGTAGGAGCTCCGGCTCACGCAAATCTCTGCTGCTTGCTGTTGCTGCTGCTGCTTGTGTGGCGGCGGCGGCGGCGGCGGCGCCTGGCGATGGCGCTGTTGATCGGGCTTGGGCGAGTCACACACATTGCGGCATCGGCTCCTCCCACTGCCAAGAACAAGGCGGACGCACATCTCGCGCAGCCGATCCAGGAAATGGAGGCGCGCTGCTACGCGCATCCGGATCCTAAACACTCGCCTACATTTTCTCCTGCTCGATGATGCCCTCTGCGCTGCCGCCGACGCCGCCTTCCTGGTGGGATCCTTGGAGGAGGGATTAGGGCTCTTGTCGCCATGGATCTTGGGACGATCTTTGCTCTCGGGGCTCAGTATCGAGTACACGCTCCTCATAATCTCCTTCGTCGTCGTCCCAGCTCACGATCGATCGCTGCAATGCCCGGGCGAAGAACAGTGGAAAGAAATCTCCGCCTTGCCGCGCCGGGGTGAGAAGGAAAGAGAGCGAATTCTTCGCCGATTCTTCCTCGCAGCGCCAATGATCACCGCCGATTCGCCAATTTCGTGGGAAGGAGAGGAGGGATCGGCTGATCGATCGATCGATTCGAGAGAGAGGAGAAGAAAAAGAATGGAATGGAAGGAAGGGAGCACGAGAAGTCCTGGAAGAAACCAAGTAGGCTGTATGAAATAAAAACTATAAGGGTTCTCATAGGCATCTATAGGCTGTTCTTGCTAAAGGCCCCTGCGCAAAGAGCGCACTTTGCTAGGGACAGGTCCTTGGGGAAATAAGTAGATTTTCAAGGACACGATTTTTCACCCCTACCAGGGAAGCTTTCTTCTAGGACTTGTGTATTTACTCGGCTCCGCCGGCCAGCTTTCTTGCTGAGAATACGTATATTGTACGTTCGAGACTGACGATTTTACCCAAATGGGTAAAATCAATCGGTGTAGCTAGGAAAACCAGACGTGTAGCTAGCCTGTCTGTGAAGTTAACGTGTCTTCGCTTGTTACCACAGCAGTATGTTACTGTCTCGCCAGTTTTACCATTGGTTCTTCTACTGCTATGCACACAGACAGGGCTTTTTTGGCGGCGGTCTCTCTTTTAAACTTTGACAGCTTAACGCCAGGGTTAACGTTTTTCTTACCTTACTATTATATTGTAAATATTATTTCTTTATTACTATAATATTTAACAATGTTTACAAATATGAAAACGATTCACCGACCGCATGCCGTATCAAAGAAGTCCATCTAACAGACCAAACAAAAGAAAATTGTTTGTTTCCACTCACTGGATTCAATCCGCTAGCTAGAGAGGGGAAAAAAAATCTCTACTAGAAGCATCATCGACGCCACTCACACATTCCTATAGAAAATTCCGCGTGGATTCCACCACTATCACACCAACAATCACACAAAGTGAGAAAAAAAAAAGAGAACATCAAACCACTGTTCGAATAGATCAACCTGCTAATGTGCGCATGAGAAACTTGATCTCGTTTGACCACCTTTTCTTAGCTTAAACATACGTTGGGAGCCTTAAAAAATTGCTTCTTACAAACAAGGACAATTGGAATCAAATTCCTAGCGGAAGAACTGGCTCCTAAAATTTCACGCGAATGTCTCTCTCTCTGCTTGATTGAGCCTCGTAGAGTAGCAGCAGCAGCTATCCCATAGCTTACACCAAAGAAAAAGAGAAAAAGAGGTGTACGGACACACATTTTTCTGTGTTATCTGGTCGTTTCATTGTCTTCCTTGTGGGTTGACACACCAACTAAGCGAAAAGACCGGAGTTTCTATTTGCACACTTGGAGTGCAGCCATGGCCTGGGACACCCACACAGACACACTCTCCTGAGAGAACACAGGAAATTCTCGATATTCTCTCAAAATTCTCTAAAGTGCTTGGAGCGTTGTTGTAGGTGGCCGTAGTTGTGACAAGTTCTAGCACACCCAGTACGGACGGGGCCTCGCTTTTCAGTGATTGATCAGCTTTTCTGGAAGTTTTTCTATGGGAGTTTTAACCCCCAACTTTGGGATTCCAAGGCTCGTGCCTCGATCTTAGGATTGGAGGCCACCAGGAGTTTCAGTAAGCAAATCCCAACGATGATCTTGGAACCATCACGCAAAAAGTGATTAGTTTTTGTAGAGACAATCGCGGCCAACAAACAAACAAGGAGGCAATCCATTCAATCCATCAAACAAACCAACCAAGCAACAATCTCGATCGAGACACTATCCCACCAGCACCAGCAAAAAGTCCAAGAAAGGGAAAGAAGAAGTTTAAACAAACATACTTGGGGGACCACAAACAAGGAATATAAACCATGCCTGCAAATTACAACCCACCGTCAACGTCAACGCAGAAAAATATACAAATGACAATGAAACAACAAAATCTTTCCTTTTCTTTGGTTCTCTCATGGTCAATGGTCTCGATTCGTGGTTGATAAGTATCTTCTTAATGTGGTTCGTCTTTATAGTTCAGGAACGAGGGCAAAGCCGGAGTTTGTCTGCTTCGATAGAGCTTGCGAGAAGATCAAACAATAAAATCTTCTGGTTTTTTGGAGCATGTAATCGAATCACCCTGCAAGCAATCAATCTTGCAAGCGTCAATTGCGACTGAGAGAACAAACACAGAATTGGATGAGTGCGAGCGTGTGACCATCAGTTTCAAACACTACTGCTAGACTGAGAGAAAAGATCAGAATCACTTCCCACAAACTTTAATTACGAATGTACCAAGAGAAAGAAAAAAGAAAAAAAAGAGGAGGGAAAAAGAGAATTCTTTACTTCAGGATGGATGGATCAGAGCCGTACCGAGAGTAATTCAGTAGAGCAGAATAGGTGGAAGTTTGCTCCAGCGATGGAGCGACCTGAAAAGGTGTCCTTCCTTTCGAGATTCGAGAATGGAGAATCGATATTCGTGGTGACCAGCGGGGAACGAACAAGCGACGCAGCTTTTGATGGTACTTTACCTTGTAAGCTTTTGACGTATGCTCCAGCTGAATGTAGATTCGCTCAAGTTCAGGTTAAAAGAGAAAATTTAATTTTCTATGAATTTTTATTGGACTCACGATAATCTGTCAAGAGTTCAAACTTGGTGCGGCAGGGCATGCTATTATTCCTCTCATTTCCTTTCTTCTGTTTCAGCCATTGCTGCGCTCGATGTTGCGCCCTGCACCACTCGTGATGATCACGGTTCATCGTTAGCAAGAGCGATCCTTGGATGGAGGACGATTCGAAGCCGCAAGTCCACACTAAAGTACTGGAGGAGAGAAGTCGGTGGATGCTGCGGAACATTTGCCAACGTCGATCATCGACTTCATGAAGGAGGTGGCCACAGTCGTTTTTGAAAGATGGTCGAGCCTTAGCTGCATGAGCGGCTCCAAGCTCGCTGATTTGGAGCTTCCGATGCGAGTAGAGCTGGCTGGAGGATATCTATGCTACACCTTCGCAAGTTACTGCTCTGTCTCCCTGGCTACCCTCCGAGAGGAT